CATAGGCAAGAACATTTAAGTTTTCAAGTGCATGTGATATCATGTTAAATTCTAATAAGTGAAACTGTAAATAACTGTGAGTGCTCCCTCTGGCATTTATTTTGCCATTTTGCATTGCCTCACAAATGCTGAACTGTTTGGGTATAACAGCCAGTATTTAGGTCCATAAAATTATATGCATGATTCATAGTGAGTGGTTAATAGCCAGCACCCTGCAATTGATCAGTTTTATGGGATATTCAGCAATCTAAAAAATAATACTTTCATTAGTGACGTTTTCCTCAGTTGCAGCCATTAAGGTTTGATCCAAACGATCAGAAATGGCAACTAGAAAACATTCATTAGTTTCATGACATAGAAAATCCTTCAGAAATTCATAATGGTAAAAGAACACAATCAAGATTGTTTTCCGTTTTCTGAATAGGCTTTCATCTGTTTCAATAATTTTTGTGCTTCTATTGATTCTAGCTTTAGGGTAATGTATCAAAGCATCAGCTTATACAGCACAAAGTTCGAAATCCGGACGTCCAATATTTGGAATGATCTAAAATTCGGATCTCAAAACCACCAACAAAGTTTTTTTTCTCGTAGGCTTTACGCATGCACATTTGAATCTCCCATCCGTGCATAATAAAACATCTGGAGAGTCCCGATTCTTAATTGCACTTCGACACTAAATAAAATACCTTGTTATTGAAGAAACGATCATTTTAGCATAAATTTGTATGATCAGTAATTTGGTTCCATTGCTGTGTATCTGCTTGGCACACATCTGAAACCAAACATTCCACATAGATGCATTGTTGATCTGACACCAACCTGGCGAATCATTATTTATTATACTTTTCTTTCATCACCACATGTTTATCGAAACATAGCAATTTGAGTAATGACTCATGTAGCGATGCCTAAACAATGTTTTCATGTTGGTAATCGAATAACAAAGGAGTATGGAAACCTTTTATGTTGACATTACGCTTGGCCATGATTGCAGATTTAAGTAAAATGTGCTAAAAATTATTGACGAGGAAAAATTTACCAAAAATTTCCTTCAATATGCTAAAAATAGATTCTGTTGATGATATGCAAAGATTACATTTAGGGCTATTTGAATTAAGAATAACTGAGTTGTTATTTTATTCACATAAATCCAGAACTATCGCCAGGGCTCGTTTGGCTGCATGGAGTCGCAGAATTTAGGGCCCACAGAAACTGCATCAGGCGATAAGATATCTAGCACTATCTTTCAATAAGGCTTAAGTATATGTAGAAATTTATTTATGCAGAACTCTGATAAGCCTCAAACGTGTTCAAGAAATAGACATAAGTGTAATACAGTCAAAAGTCGTTAATCCGGACTCGTCGGGACTTCGGCGATTCCGGATTATCGATTTTTCCGGATTATAGATCATCAGTTTAAATCTGGTAAGATGGCATGCAGAAATTACAAAATTAAAAATATGAAACCGTAATTTATGAAATAAAGAACAATTATAATCTAAAGGGTATCAAAATTTACTAAAAGAAAAAGCTTAATATTTATTTATTTACTTTATTAAACATTTCCTTCAATGTAAGTTGCTTCGTTTCATGTGATAATACTTGGATAGTGCTGACAGATCAACTTCCAATCCGCAGCGTGAAATTGATAAACAGATTTCGGATTTCAAAACATACTTTCGCTTTGTAGATACAAATTACATATTAGTAAATATATATCGGAAATTCTATTTGACATAATCTTTCTAATCTATCATAATCTAATAATGACGTTTCTGCCCCCCCCCCTCTGTCGCAGAGCAGCGTGAAATTAATAAACAGATTTCGGATTTCAAAACATACTTTCGCTTTGTAGTAAATATATATCAGAAATTCTATTTGACATAATCGAAAGTTCAAGCTTACTTTTATAAAATTGCTCTAACAGTCTGCAAAAAATAATAAGCCGGATCCAATTCGAAGATTAAGGAACAACGCAATCTGCAACATTAACTGAATTAGATAACTTTAGCTTAGCGTATAACTCCGTTACACATTAAACGCGCATGCGCACAAACATATTCGCAGCTGTAAGGGTCTTATGCACTCTCGTGAACGCGATGCATGCGCAGAAAGTTTGTAGCTTTGAGGTTCGGATTATAGATCATTCCGGATTATGGGTGTCCGAATTAACGACTTTTGACTGTAAATAACTAAACTGATACAATTCAGGCTTAATTGTCTCAGTGCGCAATAGAAACATGATAAAATTTAATGGAAGAACTTGTCATTAGTTGCCAAGCTCATGATGCATATCCAAATATGTAGTGAAGGATAGCTAAATTTGATGATGATAGCCACTAATTTTAAAGGTTTTCGGATATTGCAAAACAAAGGTAAAATTTTCCAATTAACGGATGTTGTAAAGAAATATGGAGGAGCGGTAATAAATGAGATGATATAAAAGAAGTTTCTCATTGTGATGACAGTGCTCCTCAATCATCAATCAATTAATCAATGGCGAAATCGGTAGTATGGTTCTAGATCCAGAAAATACCGCTACCGATAGTGAAGAAAGTGACAGAGAAGTTACTGAAAACGAAAAAATTTCGATTGACAAGTTAGTCTGAATTCTCCACACAATAGTTACAGGATTTCAACAATGTAATTAAACGTGAATATGACTGTTTACAGAATTAAAGAGAAAGTATTAGCACAAAAAATGAAGCAACTTACATTGAAAAAAAGTTTAATAAGATTAACAAAAAAGCTGCCTTTTTTTTTTTTTTTTTTTTTTTTTAATACCCTTTAGATCATAAATACTTCATTATTTCATAAATCATGATTTCATATTTTTAAATTTATAATTTTTACATGCCTTCTTACTTGATTTAAAATGATTATCTAATATCTGAAAACATCCCAAATCCGGAATTGCCGAAGTCCGGACGAGTCTGGATTTCGGACTTTGTACTGTATATCACATACATAGCTGGGTACTTGCATATTATCCCATTGACTGTGAAAGTTCAGGAAGATCCTGATAAAGTTGCCCCAATTAATCCTGCAGAAATCTGAAGGAACTGATTCCTCTTTTTTTTTTAATACCAATTGATATTTGGCCAACTTTGTTTTTGCACTTTGTAAAAGTCTTTTTGTGAATTTTTACTATTTTTTTAGGCGCTGCCGTTTTAAAGAAAGCTCTGCTTAGAATACTATGAGCATAAATTTCCTCTAGGTAATTGTTGCAGTCTATTATTGTTTTGTCGGCCATTTTCAGCTGAATATATGCTGTCTGTTCATACCCACTTTTTTTGCACTTTTTTGGGGAAGTAATTTTTTGTACATCTTATCTGTCCATAGCCCAATACATAAAATTCACGTCGATGAGCTCTGATTTTATATAGCAATACCTGTTGCTGGAAATCTGCATTGGGCATGACAGTTTCAGACTGTTTTCACCTACCAATCTCAACAATGCCTTATACCCCTCATTGTGATATATCAGCACATACATTCTAATACATATTCTGCTTTTGGTCCCCTCTAACCTGCCTTACATTTTTGCCAGGTATTTTAGAATCTTTCCAAATGTGTGTACATATATATGTTGCTGTGAAAGATTGAAATTGGAGAATGTCAACACATACCAAATATGTCAGTGAAAGACTGAATGTTTTGTTATATTCTTATACATTTGGACTGTCACTGATGTATGTCGACAAGCACAGGTATACTCTGGTGGAGACTGAAACAATGCTGAGAAGAAAGAGTTCCACGACTAAATGCAGTTGTAAAAGCAAGGGACTTTTGTGCAATTCATAGTGTCATAACAGTTTAAGCTGCTGCAATAAATAAGATTGTATAACATCAATCATGTAGTTAAATACTGTTATTATCCGCATTATTTCTTTTCTTATTTAGAATGTATTGTTTGTTTTATGTTCAACAGTTAATGTACATGTATTGTTGCTTAAGCTTTCTCCTATTCTAGCATATATAAGGTGTGATTTAAAAAATGTAACAAAAATATTGTTATTCAACATCATTGTATGATGAATGTCGACATTTGCCGGTTAAGTGAGAAATGAGGATATTTAGCAAATATTTCAAATATACTTTATGAATATTTACGTTCTTCAGATTTCAGTCTTTCATGGTAACATGTATGTATATAAAGGAAGACTTTAAAAACTTTTGTGAATTTCGTTGAAAAATTGCTTCATTTCCAAAGATACAACAACAATTAATTACAGTAAAATATTTCAAAGTACAAATTTTTCTAAATACTTCATAAGAAATGTGCAACTAAAATACTGTCGTAAAATGAATTGAGCAATTTATTATTACAAATCAATTCATTATTCAATTTATTTTATGATTCTGTTTTATTTGTTTCTTATAAGCTAGTTAGAAAAATTTGTGCTTTGAAATATTGTATATATGTTTACATATATGTGTATATTTATATGTATGTGTGTGTGGATTGAATTGTGGTAAGGATTGAGATATACAATTCTTCAAATCCTGTTTGGGTTTCTGACATTTTCATTTATCACCAAAAGTGGCAAGCCCATTCTAATGTTGAATCAAAATGAGATTTAATCAAATGACTATTTAAATAAAGTTTTTATTTTATTTTACTTATTTTTATTTATTTATTTATTTATTTTTTATGAATAATTCCTCGTTTTGAAGCAATTTGGTAGAAGCTTCTTTGTTGTTTGACAATGCCAGATTGTGCAATTCATCTCAGTTTGCATGTATAAAAAAAATAAAAAGAAAATTTGAGAAATACCATGAATAAAAAAAAATGGCTAGAGTCAATAGAAATGAAAATCGAGAAATAAGGAATTGCAGTGCTTTGCATTAATCATAGTGTATGGTTAAATTTTTTCATGTTGTTTGAGATTGACAGTATTAATTCACTTCCGTACATTTGGCCTGGTGTCCTGTTAACAGAAAAATATCTAAATTTCCATTATGTAGAATAAATAATGACACTCGGTTTATTTTTGTAGAGTAGCGGTTCGTCAGTAGCTAAAAGTCCTTTTGCAGCATTTAGTGGATTTGCTTCATCTTATTCATCACAAAGTCCATTCAGTTTCTTGAAAAAGGATAGCAATGCTGATGGTGAAAAACAAGTGAGCATTGATTTAAAAAAACTGCAGGAAAAAGAGAATGGTAACTCAACAGTAAATCAAGAAGAAAAGTCTGAAGAAAGCAAGGCTGGGTCTGAAAAAGTACCTGATAGTTCCATAACCTCTCCAAGTAATAATTCTAACATATCTACAAAGGAGAAACCAACTAGAAGCATTGAATATTACAGACAATTGCAAAGCTTAAATGAGAGTGTGTTAAAGTGGATGCAGCTTCATTTGGCAAAAAATTCCTGTTGTGATTTTACTCCAGTTTTTAATGACTACAAAAAACATTTGGACACTTTGAACCTGACATATCCAATTCATAGAAAAAAAGAAAGCTCAGTATCGGAAGATAAAAATAGTGGACTTTTTAAAAAGCCTGCTGCACCAAGTGATGGTTCACCTTCCTCTACAAAGGCCAGCAGTTTTGGTAATACTGGGAGTAAGTAGAATGACTTTAGTCAGAATTTTTTTTTGTCATTTTTGTAATTAAACAATATATATTTTATTTACACCTTCATTTAACAGATCATGAGCTATAAATGCTAATGACTAGATGACTAAAATGGTCATTTTGTTTTTTAATTTGTTAATTAATGTTTAATTCTGATGAAATTGTATAAATTGTTATTTAAAACAGTTCAAGTATATTCAAAAGAATTCTCAGAACTGGATTTTCCAGAGCAATATTTGTAGTATTGTATGCATTATCCCTCTGAGTGGCATAGAATTTTGGATCTACTCTTGAAGATCTATATTTAAACAGTTTCTATGAAATAAAATTTTATAATTGCTTGACTTTGTTTTCATAGACTTCCGTTCATTAAGATGATGTTTGCATTATTAAAGAAAATAAGGAACTGGATTTTTTAAATTAAAATTTAACATATCAGGTGGCAAAATATAGCATGATTAGATTAAGGTAGTAATGCCAATCAAGAGGTTAATGTAGCACTGGTAATTGCTTCCGTTCATTAAGATGATATTTGCATTATTAAAGAAAATAAGGAACTGGATATTTTAAATTAAAATTTAACATATCAGGTGGCAAAATATAGCATGATTAGATTAAGGTAGTAATGCCAATCAAGAGGTTAATGTAGCACTGGTAATTGGACAGACACGTATATTTAAAAATAATGTGTGCTGATATACATACTTTTTTTGGTACTGTTCGATTTCAAGGGCCCTAAAAAATCGCCAAACTATTGTTGATGCCAATGCTGCCAAAAATAATTGCGGCAAGAAAGGAAGTTTAATAGTAAATAACTATTTAAGATTGATGTTTTAATTTAGATGGAAGGTTAATTTTATATAATATTTTTTATTACTATACTTTCTATAAAAAGGCTAAACATGACTGAATTGAAGCATAAGAGTAAATAACTATTTCAGATCATTATTATAATTTATATAAAAATTGCTAAACGTAACCAAATGGATGCCTGCATAATTTCATCTCGTTTCATCGCCAAAGCATAATTTCATCTCGTTGGTTGTTCAACGTAATTTTCTATAATGAATGATGCCTTTTCTTTGAAAATATTCTCGATAAAGTGCAGAATCGCTCGCTTATTTGTTTGCCGCTTTTTACAAGGGTTAAAAACAATTGGATTTTTGTCAATTTTCTTTTACTTTTTAAGTGAAAATAGGTCGATGTGTACATAGATAAAGTCAAGGGTGTGCGCAGTGCCATTTTTGTGCAATTCTAGGATTTGTTTTTAAGTGAAAATAGGTCGATGTGCACATGGGTACCGAGTATGTGCAATTCTTAAAAACGCGTCAAGCAGTGGGTGATTCTGTACTTTACCCAAAATTTTATTGCAGAGTTTTCGTCATGGGCAATTCCCAAATTGTTAAATCCATAGGATATCAAAAAAGGATTTAAAAATTAAACTAGTATTTCAATGGCATCTTAAGAAATATAGAACTATATAAGCTTACACAATCTGAAATCAGCGTGTAAGCTAGATTTTGCATATACATTTTCGCTGCAATTTTTTTACGGCCCTCGAAACCGAATAGTACCCTTTTTTTTTTTTAAAATTGGTAATGTTGCTTGTATCACTTGAATGTTGTACAGTTTAATCCTTATTTAACATTTGTTCCCTGTGGTCTGGGTCAAACATGCATAAAAACAGTATCAAGATATCTGATTTAGCTGTAGATTTCTTTGAACAATAATATTTTGCAAAGAATATCTTAGTCACATGCAGTTATCAAATGATGGTGAGTGTATTATTTTTTCCAAACTTTATTGTTGTGGTGTCTATCTTTAAATACAATTCATATTATTGTAACTGATGATTTATGAGCTGAAATTTGTAAGTTTCGAGTTACTGAAAAAATATGTTATTTATATATAGCAAATATGAACTGTTTGATTTCGAAAGTAGAAATCAATTGGGTGGAGCAAATATTAAAATCCCCTCCACTCAAAGAAATGAAGTTTCAGTTATATGTAAAAAGTTTCGTAATGATGTTTGATATGGATAAACTTATTCTTGGCTCATTTGTCAGTGCAATTTAAAACACTTTAAATTAAGAAGGTAGCTGAACTGTTGTATAAAGGTTTTTGTTACTTGTGTTTTATCCCAGACTTTGAGTTTTAGTGGATATAAAGGTACTTAATTCTCATAATAAGCTGCATATTAATTACTTCAGATATGTATGCAAGTAATAACAACTGTATTCTGACCATTTTTATTTTGGTAGAAGAGGGTGGTTATTACTTATTTGCATAAAGGACCACCATCAGAAAACTTGAATCTATTACTTTATTCTTGTATTTAATTCCCATTGCTGCATCTATATTTAGGGCCATATTCAGTGGTACTTTTAACAATATTGCCTAAGATTTGGCAAATTATATGGTGTTGTAATCTCATGAGTTGTTAAATTTAAGGACAGGTTTGGAAGCAGCTTGAAGTAAAATATGACTTTTCTTACAAATTATATGACCTTTGTATTTGAGATGAAGCTAACTTCATTTTTTAGAAATTCTTGTTACCGCCTTATGTTATAGCATATTTAAGCAACCCCTAGAAGAAAAAAGCCATAACTGGAGATGATCTGTTGTATAGGTATACATATGCTCGGGCCATTCATTTTTGAAGTCTTGACATCCAGAGATGTAGCAGAGGTTTTCATAACCTGGGGGCAGTTGAAGATTTCTCTTCATCTCTTGGTTGCCAAAATGCAATGGGGAAGGGAAAGAAAAGCCTCTGGATGCTGCCATGTAGACAGGAAATAGAGGAGAGACCCCCGAACTCATTTTTTCCATAGACATACTGCCTTGAAGCAGTGACTCATCCCTCCTGGTGACCAAAACATTCAGTGACTTGCCATTAAGATTAGTAGCTTTTGGCATAATCGGAGGTAAACATTTTGTAATTACGTCGTAAATGTACATATTTTGCTTTTCTGCAATATTTCAGAGTTGTAAGTATGTGCAAAATTCAAATTTAACTTTGTTTACTCTTCCATGAACAGTTTTAATTTGAATGAAATGTTTTTCACTTCGTTCATTACATTAAAAAGAAAGGTGGTTTGATTTTATTTGTTTAATGATTACAAAAATTACAATCAATGTTTATTCTATATTTAATATTAAAATTATGCATTATTTCTTCTCTGTTTACAGAGCTTCTTTCTTAAATACTTTCTCAAATATGAAATGATTTTTAGCTTCTGAGGCATCTTTTAAATCAAAAATCATATTTACTCTATTATTAATGCTCTGTTTTGTTCATTTCAAATTAGAGCAGTTTTTATGGTACTTTTCAATAAAGTATTGCTACTAATTTTTGATTTCCATGTACTTAACTTTCTACAAGTATTTCTGAAAGGGAGATAAATTAATATTATTTAAAATTTGTAACTGATTTATTATAAAATGTAAGCAAATAATTCTTTTAAAATATCAAATTTGTTTTAATTTTGAGTTCAAAAATGCACATTCTAAAAATTATACTTTTCTGCTTTCTTAAGTACACATCTCATATACTGTGTTTTGCAACACCTTTTAACCGGTTTTCCGTTATGAACAATTCTTGTGTAAGTAGTTTTATAAATATATTTGCCAACAGAATTTCAGTTTATATCTACAATAAAATGTTAAGATCATTATATATTTAGATAATATTTTCAATCATTATAAATTTAGATATCCTTAGTAACTAGATTTCTTCATAGTAACATTCACGGGAGTTTATAAATGAAGAAATCCTTCATTTCCAAATACATTTATAGATAATTTAATAAATATTTATGTATTTGGTTAATACATACTTTTTACAAGGATATGACAGGTCAAACTTCCTGTACCACCATTAGAGGCTTAACAAGGCTTAGTAAAGCTATTTAATTAAAGAAACATTGAGGTCTAAAACAAGGCCTTAATCAGGCCAATTAAGCAGTAGAACAACCATCATAGTACCTGAAATAACCTTAAATAAAATAAACAGTTAAAATATGAAAAATTCTGCATTCATATAATCTAGGAGCTGGTGAGATTTACCAGCTACACCAACAAAGCACATTATTACATACTTTGTAAAATATAACACATGTTACATGCATAAAAATGTTACTTATATATACAAAGAAATAAAATAACAGAATATCAAAAACACCCTAGTTTTTCTTAAAACAGACGGAGAAATTTTAAACACAATCAATATATAAATTCATTTCATTTACAGATACATATTTTATGAAATTTGACAATTTCAATTTAGTCACTGTATTTTTACTTAGATCCTTTAGAGTATTAAATTTAGCAATATCTGGAACAAATCTTAGAACAATATTTTTTATAGAAGAGCATCTAAACAACAGGTGCTCAATATCGATATTACTCATGACACATGGACAGGCACAATTTTTAATCGAAAACCTATTATAATTAAAAGGGAAAATGTCCATGATTAGTTAAGGCTTGGTTTAGATACTTGTCACTTAGACATCTTCTTTCACTTACAGTTGGGATTAAATTATATGTGAATCTTCCTTTAGAATCTGTGTCGTTCCACTTTGCTTGCCATAGAAACAAACTTTTTTCTTTTCAACAAGGATATCAAGCTGTCAAAGGAAGTCTTTACTTCAAAATCAATAATTTGAATATCTGCTAACTCGTTACCAATGGTACCAATATGACTCTTCGTCCAAAAGAATTTAATATCTCTGAAAGAAAAGAAAAATAAGCATATCTTTTATTTGCTTAATTAAATCGTTACTTGGACAAACATCCATAATTGAAACAATTGCACTTTCGTAATCACTATAGATTTCTACGAGATCTAGCGCAGAATTAGAAATAAGCCAATATAAGGCCTCAACAAAGCTGGATGAATGTCTAATCCTTTCTCAAAGTCAAAATCTCTAGCTGAGAAGATCTTATTGAAACAATCGACAGTTTTATTACCAGCTTTTTATTTAAAG